CAAATGAGATCATAATGAGATATATTGCAGCTTTAATCCCTTAAAAGCTTTAAAAGAGTTGATCTAAGATGAAATGATATCTCTCAATTCTTCAAGTTCAAAAAGCGGACGAACCCAAAGCGCCCTCCAAAGCCTTTTTATTTTGTTTTGGGTTTATGTATGCCGTACTATAAATAGGGATACAAGTTTAGGTGGTCTGAGGAAGATAGAATGCTCAAGCATAAAAATAAAATCTAAAGAGAGATACAAAATCACCTCACGAACACTTGGATATAGTTTGTGGACTTTTGGTAGTCGGAAGTTCCAGTGTGAGCCGGGAGTTCCGACTGTCGAAAGTCCTGACGTTTGGTGCCGGAAGTCCCGGCACTTGCTGACTTAGCCGCATCCCGCCTGCGCATCTTCTCTCGTCGGAAGTCCCGTCGGGAGTTGGGACTTTTGGGTGCCGGAAGTTCCGACTCCCTCCGGAAGTCTCGACACTTCACGACTTATCCGCCTGCGCATCTTCGCCCGTTAGAGTCGGGACTTACAGGTGCCAGAAGTCTCGTCTCTCGCTGGAAGTCCCGATGCTTTGGGACTTAGTCGCCTGGCTCGTCATGTCTGTCGAGAGTCCTGACAGAAGCCGGAAGTCCCGGCGACCACCGGGAGTTTCGACAATATGCGACCAAGCCCAGTGGACTGTCTGTGTGAACTGTGTTTTTACGTTGAGCCAGAAGTTCCAGCGATCTGTGTCGGAACTTCCGACTCAGATCTGAACCGTTGGATTTGCCTTTGAGTATAAATAGCCCTCTCCTCTCTTCTAACTAGTAACCGCTCATTCATTGCTCACAACCTTCATCCAAAATAGTCCCCAAGCATTCAAGGCTCTCCTCTCCTCTTCTCTTTGCTCCAATATTCGATTCTCCTAGGTTTTTGAGTGAAACGAGAGTGGATTAAGTGAGAGAATCACTTTGGCAAGGTTGAGCACTTGATTTCTTCATTAAGCCGGTTGGATTTGCGTCTATTACTCTTGGGTTCTTGGAACCCTAGCTAGCTAGGCGTCGCCCAAGAGCTTCCATCTAGTGGAAGAGCCTTGTAAAGTTTGTATTACCATCGATTTCTTAGTGGAAAGCTCAAGTAACCTTTGTGGTTGCTTTGAGAGAGTCAAGGAGGTGGAAGGGACTCCGACCTTTGTGGTCACCTCAACAACGAGGACGTAGGAGCTCCTTTGTAGGGTTGCCGAACCTCGGGATAAATTCTTGTGTCCCGCGTGCTTGTTGTTGTGATTTGTGCTATCATATTTATTCTTGTTGGTTTGTCTTCCTTCCCAACTCTTCTCTTAGGGTTTGGACTCGATCTATGGAGTAGTGACCTTCCGACATCAAAGGAGCAACGCTAACACTTCATCTTACCACTAGAGAGTTGGGTTGTAAGATATCTTTCACTCAAAGTTCGTTTTAGCGCTTGTAGTGCTATTTTCGTAGGTGCCGGAACTCCCGGCTGTTTGCGTCGGAACTTCCGCCTGCCGAAAGTTCCAGCCCAAACTGTCGGGACGCCCGGCTGTCACTGAGATTTGACTTGCAGATATTTTTAGATACGCCTATTCACCCCTTTATAGGCATTGTTTAGATCCTTTCATAGACAACCAAAATTAACATGACAAAGACGTGAATACCGAATATTTGACTCATCAGGGATAATAGCATTGTTCACAATCTTATTACACACATCATCATGCAAAGATAAGTGGAACAAGCCTCTATAGTTATAACCTTTACCAACAAAACTTTCATACTTTGATAGTACACATTTATTGGCCCTGAAGATAATTTTATAACCATATCGACAACATTGAAAGCCGCTAACTAGATTCTTTTTTATGGAGGGGACATACTGCACGTTCTTCAACAGTACCGTTTTTCTTGAAGTGAACTTCAGAATGACCGTACCAACACCAAAAACACGCGCATGGGACCCGTTCCCCATCAGCAAGGCTCCAGCCCCGCCGACCTGATAAGAAAAAAAACAAAAAAGCATCAGCATACACATGAATATTAGCCCTAGTGTCCAATCCACCACTCAGACGAATGACAGACTGAAAAAACAGTAGGTAAAGAATTACCATACCCAGATGTTCCTCCTTCAGCCTCGCTAACAACCATATTTGCAGATTTCTTCTCTTACTTAAATTTACGGTCTGGGCACGAACTTGCCTAATGCTTATCGCTCCCACAAACAAAGCAACCGCCATCTTTGTTGTTCTTTTTCTTCTTAAAAGTGGTTGTTTGTTTAGGTTTTAAGTTGTTCTCTTGCTTATTCTTCTTCTTCTTCTTAGTACGAGATGCATTTGAATTTTTCTTATGCACCATATTGGCACTAAAAGACTCAACGTCTTTCCCATGCGTGCCTTTTGTTATCGCCTTCTTCTCAACGTCAAGAGACTCAATAAACTCAGCTATGCTAAACTCTTGTGTGTTATGTTTTAGGGAGTAGCAAAATCCCTTAAAAAATTGGCAGCAAGACGCAGAGACAAACGGGGCAAAGGCCGGCAGGTCATCACTGGATCACGGAGGGAGCGATCTGAATCACCTGATCAGATCGGTGGATATGACTGGCGAGGCGAGTGCCGAGCGCATGCTGCTGTCCCCGCCAAGCAGCAGCAAAATGCAGGGGGGGACAAGGGTCCAACCTCCAACGAGCGACGCGGGGTCTCTCGCTTTTTGCTGGAGGGGTTTCCTCTCGGCTCCTTGTTGGGTTGTTTAACATCGTTCGGTTCAGTAGTGCTTGTGCTTAACTTGGTTGGATGTATAACGTATTGGTCCATTGCAAGCAAGGTGCTGACCAAGCCACCAATCTTAAGAGATCCATCCATCCAATGCAACCAAGTCTGGCGAGCGAAGGCGAGGCCAAGCACAACTGCACGAGGAGGCATATGGACTGTACTCTGGGAACGTCCTGGCTGTGTGTCTGTGTCTCCGTCTCCTTCTCTTTGGCTCTCGCAATTTGGGACCTGACCAGTGGCCAACACACCTACCCAAAATAATGAGCCCCATCCGGTACTGTAAATCCTCGGAGACCGCATTACTGCTGCTGCCGGCTTATTGCCAACACGGCTACCCAAAGTGCCGTATATTGGCTGATAAGTCGGCTAATAAGTTCAAGCGATTCGATTGAACTTATCGGCTTATCAGCTAGAATCTATAGTATTTTTCTCTCACAACAAAACAGTTTCAGCCGACTTATCAGCCGACTTTAATATCAGCCGAACAGGCCTTGAAGCCCCCTCCCCGGCCAACCCTCTCTGACAATGCGACCGTTTGCTGTGAGTGCCGACTTTTCACCTGGGAGCTTAGGACTTGTTTAAATCCGAGACATAAAGTTTTAGGGTGTCACATCGAATGTCATATGAGGGGTGTCGCATGGGGTGTTCGGATACTAATAAAAAAATAAATTACAGAATCCATCAGTACTCCACGAGACGAATTTATTAAGTCTAATTAATCCGCCATTAGCATATGTTTACTGTATCACCACATTGTTAAATCATGGACTAATTAGGTTTAAAAAATTCGTCTCGCAAATTAGTCGTAAACTGTGTAATTAGTTATTTTTAGTCTATATTTAATACTCTATACATATGGTCAACATTCGATAGAATAAAGAGTAAATTTTAGGATGAGAAAATAAACGAGGCCTTACTGTACGTGGGGTTATTTCCTGTTCTGCAATTCAAAACTGGCTCCTGCAGCGGACAATCCGCGTTCTATTCAAGGGAGGGTTATTGGTTGGGATAGATTGGAAATCTCAAATCGATCTCGTGCCAGCCATGCTGCCCCACTGCGTTTGGTGAGACCGTCCCCAGCTCTACATGCGTGGAGTACGTACGTACGAACGAACGAGTATAGTATAGTCAACAACAGCGCAGGTTTTCTCTCGCCAACAACGCCTAGTAGAGAATGAATGTAATGCAGACCACAAACTTACAAACGCCGTCAAGATCTACCAAGCAATAAGTAGCGTCTGTTGTTTCACCCACAAGATTTCAATCTCCATCACTGCCTCATTTACTTAGCAGTAATACTATTTCGCTTCCGTTACTCTGCTTTAATTCCACAGGAAATATAAGGGGGAAAAATGCCAGTACTGCCAAATTGCAGGCTGACCTCGAAACGCCATCCAGAGAGGACCGCAGCTACTGTTCCGAAAACAAACAGCCTGTTCGGGAGACCGTATCGTGGATTATTTACTGCTGGCTGGTTTGGTGTGAGAGAAAAACACTGTTCTCGACTGAAAATTTACGATCGTTTACGAGCAAGCGAATAGGCTGTTTGCAAGAACCAAAAGCTTTTGCAAAAGTTGGACGCACAAAGCGGAGGGCGAATTCCACACGGAATACGCTGCCCATGGCATTTTTGCAGCGGTGGCGTGGCGGGCTGGACGCAGGACGGCTCACGGGAACCTGCAAAGTGCCGCAAAGCAGAGGTGTGTGGTGGTGGGTGCGAAGTGCGAGGCGCTCGGTCTCCGAGAGGTCGTAACCGTCGCCGATGCAAGCAGCAGTAGCAGTAGAGCAGGACGGCGGTCGATGGCGCAGATAAATTTGGAACCGACGGAATTGGGAACCAGTAGGCGCCCGTGCCGGACCAAATACTCCTCCTACAGGCTACACGCGGATCTCGCGGGTCGCGTCGCGTCGCGTCGCGCACCCACCCAAGCAGAAGCACGCACAGTGCACAGGGCACGCACTCCCCATACTGCCAGTGCCAGCCGCTCTTTGTTGTCCAGTCCAGGAGTGGCCGCCAGCCGCTGCACTGCACTGCACACACGCCCTCTCAAGCCTCACTCCCCCAACCCCTCCCCTGGTGGTCTCTCCCCAATCCCCATCGGCTCCGAATCTCTCTATCTTCTTCTCTCTCTACACACTGCCTCCCTCTGCCGCTCTGCGGAGTTCTCTCGCGTGCTCGCAGTCGCAGGCGCGTCCTGGGAGAAGGAGACCTTCGCTTCGTTCGTGGCAGCGGTAGTAGACCATGAAGGCGCTGGTGGTGACGGTGCTTCTCCTGCTCTCCTCCACCCTGGCCGCGTCACGTGAGCACTCTTCTTTTTCTAACCTTTCTTTCCTTCCCTTCCTCTGCTCTGCTCTTGTGGATTTTGTAATATCGTCAGCGTCCGCGTCTTTTCTCTTGTTTCCGGAGTTTGGGCTTCTTGGTGTGTGCGCGCGCGCGCGCAAGCCTAGGGGTTTCTCGTTCATCATTCTGCCGAGTCGCCACGGCAAGCTCTTCTACTGCTTTGTGTGCTCTGACATCCCCGGCTCTGTTTTCCGTGCTTGTGTTTTTCAGCTGTGCTTCAATGCTCGTTCCTTCTAGAACATACGGAGTACTCCCTCCGTTCCGTTCCTAAACGTCGGTTGTTTTCGTTTTTTAAAAAAAACAACTTTGACTAAATATATATTAAAAAATATTAATATTTATGATACATAATTAATATCATTGATAGATATTTGAATCTAGTTTTTTAATAAATTTATTTAGAGATAAAAATGTTAGAGTCAGAGGTACGCAAATCAGACCAAGAGTACTCCGTAAAAAGGTTTTCATTTTGTGGACGAAGCAAGCAGACCTTGCATCTGTGATGTACTGTTTCTTTTGACATTGAGTTTTTTTTTCGAGATTCCTTTTCCTCACATTGTTCGAGCTGCATTATTCGTTTCAGTATTTCTTCCGCTTCTGTTTCGAAGAGATTCGTTCAAGAACAGAGCAGGGAGAGAGGAGAGGGAAATTTCCTCTTGTTTGCTGATGGACACTGAAGTTCTCCCCCAAAGAACAACTTTTCTTTTTCAAAATCCCCTTTTGTGCTTTTGCTTAACTGAAATGCAGCACACAGCTTACACAAAAAGGTCAGATTTCCGTTGCAGCACATGTCTAGTGAAAAGTGCCGTTCTCTCTTCCTTTGCGTGCGCAAAGCTCGCTCCGTCTGCTTGCTGTGCTCACGCTCCCCTGGCCGTCGCATTTGGTGACATCCACATACCACGTCGCATAAACTGACGCGGGAGAACCGCCGCATCCCCTGGAACGCCCAGACAGGCGTTCGTTCGTCCCCTTAAGTCTCTAGCGTCTCTTCTAACCAAATCTTTGGTGCAGAATGGTGCGTGTGCAGGCAGGACGCGACGCAGGCCGCGCTGCAGAAGACCATCGACTACGCCTGCGGCTCCGGGGCGGACTGCAACTCCATCCATGAGAACGGGCGTGCTACAACCCCAACACCGTCCCGGCGCACTGCTCCTGGGCGGCCAACAGCTACTACCAGAACAACAAGGCCAAGGGCGCCACCTGCGACTTCACCGGCACCGCCACCCTCACCACCAGCGACCCAAGTAATGCCCCCTCAAGCATAGATTATCACATTAATTACCCTTGCATTAAGGTTCGTTGGAGGATTAACCCCTTGCGAGTTAATCTGTAGCTACCGATCGTTAGTGTTTAGCTCCTTGCTGGGTTAGAATTGCAAAGACGAATAAAGGTTGGCGAAGTTAGTGGAACCAATATTCATGCCGTCTAGCATTGTTAAAGGTTTTCCAGACTTGTGTGCTTGGGCCACCTGAACTCGGCTTTTGACATGGAACATTGTGGATCTAATCGTTTTTGGCACATTTCATTTTGTTATCAGTAAGCATAAGTTAAAGCTATCTAGGTGTACTGGTCAAGCTTTAGGGAATCCGGTTCTGTACAGGTACTGAATTAGGCTATTGGTGTGGACTAGCCTAACAACTATTTAAATAGTAAAAAATACAAACTTTCTGAATGAATAGCAAGATTTGCAAAGTTCAAAGCTGTTGCCATATGCTTTATTCTTGACCCAACATTCTCTGGTGTGTACTGGGGCAGGCATTGGCATGAAAGCGCATCCATTTTTTTCCCTACTTTCCAAAAGGAAAGTAAACTGTAATGCGGCAAAGGCAGATTTTCAGCCTGTTCGCTTGGTCGTAAAAACGATCGTGGATTATAAGCCGAACAGTATTTTTCTCTCACACCAAACCAGCCAGCAGTAATAATCCACGATCGTTTCAGCCGAAACGAACAGGCTGTTTGTTCTTGCGATCTTTGTTTTATTATTCAAAAGACAGATTCCAGTGTCTTATATGATGTTTGTGTTGTATTGCTTCCATGTTCTTCTTGCTGGTGACACTATCCATTTCATCACTCAATCAGAGTCCTACTTGTATCTTATATGATCTTTGTGTTCTAAACTTTCAGGTTCTTCTGGCTGCTCTTACCCTACCAGTGGAAGGTACATCATGAACTTAAATTAACTGCACACCATGTAGTACTATTAGCACTAAGGCCTGACTGAGTAGTTCATATTTCAAAATTCAAACTTGTGCACTTTGGGAACTGGTACCCCCAAGAAAGTGATGTATCATGTTGAATCAGATCTTTTGGAATGCAGTTGGTTCACTGAATTTTAAGTGATATTTGATACTCTTCCAAACTACTCATAACTTCTGGAATAGGAAACTGGACTTTAGACATCACATCTGTTGATAAACAGGAACATTCAGCATGCCTAAGAGATCAGTGGTCAGTGGTCACTGTTGATGCCTCCATAGCTCTATGCTAGAGATCCTTTTTGCAATTCCATACAATGAACAACTTGCTTTACTGGGTCCAAGTAGCGAGCAGATGCATATAATACATAGCTAATCCATCGCTCAGATGATTGTACTAAGAATCGCAGAACATTCAGCATGTGGCTTGAATCAACATTACCACAATACTAACAGCATTGCCTTGTTTATACAGCGCTGTTGGAACGATGACCCCAACCACTGGAGGCACAGTGGGAGGAACCTCAGGGACCTTCACGCCCGGTGTAGGCACAGGCACAACCGGCACAGGCATGGGGACAGGCACTACGACCGGAACTACGGGTACTGGGTTCGGCGGCCTAGGACCAGGCACAAACGCTGGCATGGACACAGCGGCAGCAGCGGGCTTGCTCCTCCCAAGGGCCGGCCTGGCCACTGCCCTCGTTGCGCTCCTCTCCGCCATGGTGCTCGCATGACGCTTGATATGACCGCAGAAACAAGACCCTACCTGCTAGTAGAAAGCACAACCAGCCATTTGGTAAGGGGCATTTCAGGAGTACTCTGATGAACTATGGAGAAAGGGAGAAAAACCTAATGCATCCTATCTGAAAACCCACTAGCGCCTGCTTCTTGTTCGGTGCAGCCCGGGGGGCTCATGGGTGGGGGTGCCTTTCGTTTGGGCTCCTCTGCGATGACCACCTCATGTTCTGTGTACTACTCTGTAATCTGGTAGGATGTCTGTCTCTGTCATGCAAGGACAATTGTCTGTGTTTTTATACTGTTGTTAATCATGTAAATGTAGGGAAGGCAGGTTAATTAGTTCTTCAAGGCTGGCTGGAATGAGAATGCTGCTACTGGGGCAAACAATGCCATGGCCCATGGGGTGTGCTTTTTATCAACTTGCATGTCATCAGGAGCCGTATCAAATAATAATATTTTTTTTCATAATAAATTAATATTAGCATCAGCTGTTTTTTTAGCCAGCTTTACGGGGCGAGCTTAGAGCTATGTAACCTCCATCCACTACCTGTCTAGCTATTCTGGATGCAAAGATTCTCAGCTCTCTCGGAAAAAAAGAAAAGAATGAATGGTACTTTCATTGACATCATTGTTGATGCCGTCGGGCCTTGTTATCGTCAGAGCATGGCGGCATTGCAAACTGATGTTACCGTTAGGTGGTGTGGCGCGTCAGCGCTGCAGCGAGCGTTCGTCCCGTCCCGTCCCGTCCAAGCGAAGTGGGGCTCCCTCGCTCCCTCTCTGTCACTGTTTGTTGCCTTGCTGAAAGCGGTAGATGCGGCCGCAGCACACGAACACTTGCAAAGTTGCAAACCCGCAGGCCCCACGGCCGGGGGCGGGCAGTGGTGTCGTACGACGGCGTCCTGGATCCAACCGAGAGCTGCGTGACGAGCGATGAATGATGCGGTCAGGCTGTCTGCCCGGTTGTACAAAGCGCGGGGCGGGCCGGCGCTGGCCGCTGGATCCGTGCGGGCGCACATGGTGCCGCGCAGCGAGCAGCATGATTGGCGTGTACCCGACGGGGTCGGGCGAGTTACGGCGGGGCGCGAGGTGGTAAACTGGTAATGGCGCGCGCGCGCAGGAGCAGAGCCGGCGTGCCGTCCCCGTGCGGCAGGGGCGCTGCTGTGCTGCCCTGCCCTGCCCTGCCACGGTGCAGACCATGGCGTGGCCATTGGCTGCGCGGCAGCGCGGGAGCCGGCGGCGGCAACCGCAGGACCGCAAGAAGCGTGGAGAAAGCGTCAGGAGGCGTCAGGGCGCCATGAGATGAGAGTAGGGGGACGAGACAGCGGAGGCGCGGATGGATGCTGTCATGCTGACGCGCGCAGACACGGACGGGTGCTCACGGTGACGGGGAGGGTGCGCGGGCGGCGGCGGAAGAGGCGCGGCCGCGGCCCACGGGGGCCGGCTCATGGCACCATGGGTCCATGGCCTGATGGGTGTGCGTTGTGCGGAGCCGAAGCGGGCCTAGTTCGGATTTCCACCGGGCTAAACCCGAGATTTCGCTGCCGAAGGCCGGCCCAACTACAGTAGATTTTAAATGCAAATCAGTGACGAAACCATATACTAGCATTTTTTTTCCTTTTCTGATTGCGTGGAAATTTGTTTTAAGGAAAACCGGAGCTTCATTGATTAAGCATGGGCAAGATTACAATGAAGGTGTTCAATATCCCGTAATCCAGGTGGGGTTATAAGCCACTCCTCCACCTGAGCATTACGGGATACAAAATGAGCACACTCATGAGCTAACTTGTTACACTCTCTATTAACAAAAAGAAATTTAAAGCCCTCAAAGCTCCGGCTCAGAGACTCCATCTGTATCAGCGGAGGTTCAATCTCCGAACGTTGACTGGGCCCTGTTCGACAGGACTTATTGCTACTGCGGCTGATTTGTAGGAGTTGATTTGTTGTTAGAGAAAAACACCGTTTCTATAACTGAAAAGTAGGACTGTTTCTGGCTGATAAGATCAAGCGAACAGGGCCTGGATCGATTCTTGATTGCGTGGAAACTGATGGGAGTCTGGAACAGTTCAAACTCTGGTGGGGGGAATCGACTGCAATGGCGCAATATACACACATACGAACACGATACTACCATACTACAGTAGCTGAATTCCAATGATGCACATGCATGTGTAGTGCAGCGTAGCATCTAGAGCTCTCCCAGCCTCTTGGCGCACTCGACGCTGCAGTCCAGCGTCTCCTCCACTCCGTACTTGAACCTGAACCCCAAGTCCTCCAGCTTGCTGGTGTTGGGCACAATCCTGACGCCTTCCCCAGTTACCCTATATAGCAAGATCATCAGTCACCACCACACAAGCAGGTCAAGCAGCAATCACCAGAGTTGCTGAGCTAGCTAATAACAAGTAGCGTTAACAAAAACCGAGACCGAGAGCATGCCACAACGTACTCCGTCAGCTGTATCTTGAGGTCGGGGTGCTTGGCGGCGAAGTGGTCGACGATGTCCCGCATGTTGGGGTACCCGGCGGCGCAGAGGAAGCGGCCGGCCATGGACGCCTGCTCCATGCAGAAGACGTGCGCGTCGCAGACGTCCTCCACGTGCGCCAGCGGCACGGAGCCCAGCAGCGCCTGCAGGAACATGAGGGCGTTGTGGCAGATCGCCTGCCCCGTCAGCGGCGCCACGATCGATCATGGGGATGCTGCTCCACAGGTACGTCTGGATGGTGTCGCCGCCGACGAGCGCGCACGCCAGGGTGACCACCTCCAGTGCCCGGGGCTGATCGTCCTACTAGGATGACTCGTTGTAGCTCAGCAGCTCCTTCTCCGACGGCGACTTGGACCGCACATAATCCTGCGTTCGTGCGTACGCGCGTGTTTCGAATTCGATCAGCTCATCGAGATGCATGCATGGCGATCAGCTAGCATTGCTGTACGTCTCAGTTGAGTTGGGATGCCCGTTGCCGTGAGTAGAGTAGTCGATTATATGCAACCCTTACGTACGTCGAGGTGAGCGTTGCTGAATCCGTAGGAGAGGTTGAGCGGCGTCCAGTTGGAGTTGGACTCGTTGGCGAAGTCCTTGTATCCGCTGCCGTCCTCCTTGAGCGGCGACGCGGCCGTGACGGAGGCCGTGTGGATGACGCGCTTCACCGTGCCGGACCGCTCGCACTGCTGGAGGATGATGCGCACCGCGTCCACCGTCGCCTCCGTCGTGTTCTTGTACTGCGGGAAAACCATACGGCTGATCATTAATGGACCCGTGATGACTGATGGTAATAACGCAGTAGTAGCAATCTGCTGGCGCTTGTGGAGTGGTAAATCTTTGGTGTGCAGTGCAGTGGTGAGACGGTGTTATGTTGTGGTAAATCTTTTCGGGTGGTCGTTGGTATGGCTAAATCTGAGCTCCTTTTTGTTTTTAATATAATGGGCAACTCTTCTGTCATTGCTCAACGTAACATCATCAGTTGTGATGCTATCATATCATGCTGACAACGATTTGTGGCAGTACGACTCTAGCTGGCCTCCTAAACCTGTCGATGGCAGAATCCCTTTGTGAGACCCGCCTCTAGCAATATAATGCTAACTGATCATGCATATCGATTAAAACAATTCTTTAGAGGTGACTGGGTACAGATGGTTGTGGAATGTCTAAAATTAATCTTGCAGGTGAGAAAACTAAAACATTATCATGCAAGCATATCTAGCGTATCATGATATTTGTAAAGAAAGTGTGGTTCTTAAGGTGTGTCAAGACTAGGTGAGCTCTAGCGCATCTAAACAAAAGGGCTAATAGGAAATAGATAGGTCCCATTTGGCACAACTCAACTTTACTAGTAAACCTTTTTTTTAGAAAATAGCTTCATGAGCAACTTTATAGGTGAAGTTGAGCTATTTTGAAAAAATTGTTTGGCAAAACAGCTTCATCAACGGCTTCATACATGGCTGAGAGAGAGAAATGAGGGAGAGAGCTAGGATAAACTATTTTTTTCAGCCTCATCCAAACTTATGTCTTTCTGAGAGGAGGAGAAAAACAACTCCATACATGAATGTGTTTTGTAAATGAGTGTTTGATAAAAAAAACAGCTCATAAAGCAGTTTTAAGCTGTGCCAAACAGGTCCCAACTAATTTTTTCAGCGAAGCCTTTATCTAGTTGTTAGCCAACTAGCTAGCTACATCTAATTTGAACTAATCTTTAATAGTAACTAGCAAAACAAGCCCATAGTTGGAGTGCTTGTTAAAAGGGGATAATAACACAAAGTTTTTCTATTCTATTGCTAGTGGCAGAAGAAGAAAGAATATTGTCATCTCTCTTGAACATGAGGGCAACATCATTGAGGGGGATGAAAATTTGTAAACACACGCAACAGAATATTATTCTGGGTTGTTTGGACCTGAAACTGAGCATAATATCCACATTGATCCTAGTCTATGGGATGAAGTTGAAAAGTTTCTACAGAGGATAATTTGATGCTCTGTAGTCCTTTCTCTGAAAATAAAATTAAAGGTGCCATGTTCCATATGGAAAAAAATAAAGCTGCTAGACCAGATAAGATCCCTATTGAGTTTTATCAATCATACTGGGATATAGTGAAGAATGATATCATTCAGTTGTTCAATGATTTTTATGAGAATAAGGTTGACATCAGTAGTGCCGCTGGGCACGACTGTTCTCGATGCGATTGCGGGCATCAAGATTGGTATTGATGCGGTCGCGGGCGTCGCAGCGCAGGGGTTGATTAACCTCCAGATTGGCGTTACGAGCTGGTCGGCCACGCTGATTTCGTGGTCCTTGTGATCCGGGATTGATGGCAACATTCCCCCTGGCCCCCCTTGGACGATTTGGCCGCGTCCGGTGGATAGGGTAGAAGGGAACTTAAAATAAGTTAAAAAAAATAAGAAAATAAAATATAAAAATAGAAGGTACTGTAGACCACTAGTAATCTATATTAGTCTTAATTTTCATGTTTATTTTTGATTCATTAGAAACATAATACAAATTTGTGATCTATAATCATATGTGGCAATTTTGTCAAATTTATGTGGCAACCATCCAAACAACGGCCACATAATTTAGTAACGAACCAAACATTTCTATTTTGTCATAAAATATGGCAAGCCGCAGTGTGATAAATGCTTAAGCTTAGATATGTCAAAATGTGACCGGCAACCAAACAGACCAATGGTCGTCTTGACGTAAGAGCCGTTTAGGACCCAATCTGCATGAGTGCTGGGTCATGGGCTTATTGGGCTCATGGTGTGCGCCCATGCGGAGCCAAGGCGGGCCTAGATCAGATTTCCACTAGGCTGCCCGAGATTTCGCTGCCGAAAGCCAGCCCAACTAGTTGATTTTAAATGCAAATCTGTAACGAAACCATATACGAATTTTTCCCTTTTCTTTTTCTGATGTTGACAGGGAACTGATGAGAGTCTGAAACACTTCAAACTTTGATGGGAGGAATTGAGCGCGATGGCGCAATAATTCAACATACTCATGGGGTGGATCAATATTCACTGCCGTGGGTGAGGCCGCACCCACGAACAACAACAAAAAAAGTATTCAGAACCAAATTTTCATCATGATATAATATCATAAATCCTTGCATCTACAACCACAAGTCAAACACACCCTCTTGAATTTGTTCTGACTCTGCCAATGAATATACTCTTACACACGTACGAACATGATACTACCGTACGACAGACTCATTCCATCCCAGAAAGAATACAATTCTAGCATGGTGCCATGTTTTAGTACCTTATATATAAGTTTGACCAATATTATAAATAAAAAGGTATCAATATATACGATATCAGATAAATATCATTAGATTAATTACGAAATATATTTTTACAATAAAATTAATTTGAAGCCATGAATTTGAGTACCATGCACTAAAAACTTGGTCAAACATATGGTACGCAATCTATAGTTGCATTCTTTTTGGGGCGGAAGTAGTAGTTCTGTAGCTCAATTCCAATGCATGTGTAGTGTTGGCGTGTTGCGTAGCATCTAGAGTTCTCCCAGCCTCTTGGCGCACTCGACGCTGGCGTCCAGCGTCTCCTCCACTCCGTACTTGAACTTGAAACCCAAGTCCTGCAGCTTGCTGGTGTTGGGCAGAATCCTGACTCCCTCCCCGGTCACCCCTATATCATCACAAGATCACCAGTCACCACCACACTAGGTCAAGCTGCAATCATCATAAAAAAAATCACCAGAGCTAGTAGCTAATAACAGCCGAGAACATGCCATTGTCAGAACGTACTCCGTCAGCTTTATCTTGAGGTCGGGGTGCTTAGCAGCGAAGTGGTCGACGATGTCCCGCATGCTGGGGTGCCCGGCGGCGCAGAGGAAGCGGCCGGACATGGACGCCTGCTCCATGCAGAAGACGTGCGCGTCGCAGACGTCGTCCACGTGCGCCAGCGGCACGGAGCCCAGCAGCGCCTGCCGGAACAGGAGGGAGTTGTGGTAGATCGCCTGCCCCGTCAGCGGCGCCACGATCACGGGGATGCTGCTCCACAGGTACGTCTGGATGGTGTCGCCGCCGACGATCGCGCACGCCAGGGTGACCACCTCCAGCGGCCGGGACTCCTTGGAGGAGGAGTCGTTGTAGCTCAGTAGCTCCTTCTCGGACTGCGACTTGGACCACACGTAATCCTGCGTGCGCGCGCGCGTTTTTCAGTTCAGTTAATCGATCGATATATGCATGCCATCTAGCATTGTTGTACGTACATCCAGGTGAGCGTTGCTGAATTCGTAGGAGAGGTTGAGCGGTGTCCAGTTGGACTCGTTGGCGAAGTCCTTGTACCCGCTGCCGTCCTCCTTGAGCGGCGACGCGGCCGTGACCGAGGCCGTGTAGATGACGCGCTTCACCGTGCCGGACCGCTCGCACTGCCGGAGGATGATGCGCACCGCGTCCACCGCCGCCTCCGTCGTGTTCTTGTACTGCAGGAAAACCATGAGGCAGACCATTATATTCTCGTCCCCGGAGCTGGAGACCAGAGCAGCAGGGTGGCCATCTCTTACTAGAAATAGATTTTCAGACGAGCCATATATTTATATGGGTCTGAATGAAACATTTTTTTTATAAAAAAGGCACAAACCCGTTAGACAAAACCACCCAACAAAATTTGATTCGTGTTGGCACGAAGATAATTAACCATACACAAAAGTAATAATTTACTTGTACTAGTTGTTGGTTGAATAAGAGCATTGTCTGAAATCGTCTTAAAATTCTGACACCTGAAATATATTTTTTAAGTAGTGCATACATACAATGATGCTTGTGTGAGTTATAAATGTTACCATTTTTTTTTCTATATTTTACTCAGATTTGGAATAGTTTAGTTTCGGATAAACTCGTAGGTTTCTATATTTGGGGACGAGAGGAGTACATCCATCCCAGTCGCTTTCTATGTACTAAATCCGTTCCAAATTATAGTTTGTTTGACTTTTTTTAATTCAAGTTTGACCACTCGTCTTATTTAAAAATTTATACTGAATATCACTTCTTTTGTTGTGGCTTGTTTTATTAACAAAAGCTCTTCAAAAATTACTTAAATTTGACTATGTTTACACAAAATTTTTAAATAAGATGAGCGGTCAAATTTGGAGTAAAAAAAACGAATTATAATTTGGAACAAAAGAGTATCTATAAACAGCCTGTTCGTTTGGTTGTGGCTTGTCGTAAACGATCGTAAATTTTCAGCCGGAACAGTATTTTTCTCTCACACAAACCAGCCAGCAATATTTCTTCACGAACCAGCAACGATACGAACCAGCCAACCGAACAGGCTGAAAGTCGTAGACAAGTACGAAGCTGTAGACAAGTACGGAGCTGGGAAGGGGAGTGCAATTTGGTCGTTTAAAATAATCTTCTCTTGCCTATTGGCTTTGATACAGAAGCGGCCAAACTCGTATATGACAAAAATAATTGTACTTCGCGCAAAGAAAAGGCCCAATAATTTTAATATAGAAACGCCCTGCAAAGCAAAATTTTCGTTCTTGGTTTCGGTTATAGGCACGCAAGAATCCAACAAACAAACTAGTGTAAGCTGAAGTTGCATGCATGGAATCCAACCCAACGATCTATCGATGCCCAGAGTCTTCGTCTACTCTAATAGTAGGGATAGGTGGAGAAGGCCGGCGTAAATTAGTAGGGATCGTGGAAGCCGCTAACTCAACATAGGCTCTGTTTGGCAGTGCTTTTTCATCAGCTTCGGTAGCTATTTGGAGCCGTTTTCTGCCAAACGGAGTAAAGTGAAATAGTTTCACTGGTGAAGTCCCTAAAAACATGTTCTCACAATGATTTGGGGTGGGATGGAGCCAAAAAAAAGTGGCTTCTCCCGGCTCCTCCTCCAGGCCTCTAAAAACATGCTCTCACAGGAAAGTCATTTTGCCAAACGGTTTACCAAAACCGCTTCAGCTCCACCGGTAGAACTGTTCGTGAAGCTGAAGCAAAAAAAATAGCTTCACTAGTGAAGTGGAGCCCTGCCAAACGGGGCCATAGTCTTTTCCAAAATGGAACCGACCAGCCCATCATGCACTGAGATCCGTCATCTGCGAAGGTCTCGGGCCCTCGGTCTCGGCATTGGGGGGAAAAGGAAAATGAATAATGGATTTAATTATAACCGCCCATGCAAGCATTGTCGTTTCGTCTCTAGGGAAAGAAATTCGGTGTGGACCATCCTCGTCAGGACGCCGTGCGGACTGTGCAACTGACACGTGGACCATGGAGACGTAGGCATGGTAAATCAGAGCTGCAGCCGCAGAGAGAGCGCACGACAGCGAGATCAGAAGCCCAAGGCGGCAAGGCTTAGAGTGATCGTTGACGCTAGCTAGCTGCCTGGCCCGGCGGCTGCGGTGGGAGGGGAGCGAGTACATACCTTGGTGCTGGTGGGGTCGTGCGCCAAGGGCGTGGCGATGAGGAAGACGAAGTGGCAGCCGGCGATGGCGGGCTCGAAGGTGTCGGCGTCGTACATGTCCGCCTCGAACAGCCGCAGCCGCTCCACCGCGCCGGGGAGCGCCCGGAGCAGCCCCGTCTTCTTCTCGTCTGTTGCACGTACGTCAACGCCCGTCCAGTCCAGCCATGCGTTAGCTCGCTCGATGATCGATGTGTGCTATATCCGCACGAAAAAGGGCAACTAAGGGGCGAGGAGGGTTCTGTTCGTGTACGCACCTAGGCTCCGCAGGGTGGCGTGGACGACGCAGCCTCTGGCGAGGAGCTTCCTGACGAGCCAGCTCCCGAGGTAGCCGCTGCCGCCGGTGACGCACACCACCGTGTCCGCCGTGAAGCCGCCCATCCTCCTAGCTAGCTCTTCCCTTCGTTGCTTCTCTGTGAGATACAGCTAGGAATCGAATGCTTGGCGAGGAAGAAGAAGAAGTACATACAGTACGATAAGTGCTTTGTATTACAAGAATGAATATGCGGTTCACCGGTTCCTCCCTTTTCGTTCATGGCTCTCTGCTAGATATACTCAGCTACGCTTGCCACGTGGGCCCGAACACCTTGGAGTTGGGCCGCGCCTGTCTCTTGGGCCTCGGCGAAGGAGGGGCAACGTCGTTGGGGCAGCCTTCTGGGTCACCAGCGGCATCAGCTGTTGTAGTATCAGGGGTGTTGCTGACAATCCCCCCTGTGCCGGCGTGCCCCCACGCCGGTGACCGGGGAAACTGGTGACGAAGCTCTTTAACCGACTCCCAGGTGGCGAGGGAAGCTGGCATGTGCGACCACTTGACGAGGACTTGATGAACTGGCCGCTCACCAGATGACCAGCGCCACTGCAACAGCTTCTCAGGAACCTAAAATTCAGTAAGTGCAGACGAAATGGATGGACTCACCGCCTGGGAACCTGGAGACCGCTTGAGCAGCGAGACATGGAACACTGGATGCACAGATGTAGACGCTGGTAAGTCTAGGTGATAGGCAACCTTTCCAACTCGTTTGAGGATGCGAAAGGGACCGAAGAACTTAAAAGACAACTTGTTGTTGGAGCAAGCAGCAACAGAAGACTGTACGTAACGTTGGAGCTTAAGGAATACCCAATCACCAATACTAAAGGAACGCTCAGTGCGATGTTTGTCAGCCTGCCGTTTCATACGGTGCTGAGCGCGATGAAGGTGTTGCTGAACCAATCACGGCATGAGGTCACGATCGGTCATCCATTGATGGAGTTCAGGAACCGGTGCTGCTGCAGAAATATCCAGTCCCAAATGATGTGGTGGAAACCCATATAGCACCTCAAATGGAGAGCGACCCAAGGCGGAGTGCGACGAAGTATTATACCAATACTCAGCCATTGAGACCATTGCCGTGGACACGAATGGACAAAACACCGAAGATAAGTTTCCATGCACTGATTGACACGCTCGGTTTGCCCGTCTATTTGGGGATGATACGCAGAGCTCATTCGAAGATCTGTCCCAGCTAGTTTGAAGAGCAACTGCCAAAAGTTGCTTGTGAACAGCCGATCCCGGTCAGAGATGATCGCCAAAGGCAAGCCATGCAGCTTATAGATGTGGTCCAGGAATGCTCGTGCTACAGATGCAATAGAGATCGGATGGCGCAAAGCAATGAAGTGGGCAAACCTAGAGAACTTGTCGACGACCACCATTATAACATTGGCAGAACCAGATGTCGGCAAACCTTCGACAAAATCCATTGAGATCACTTCCCATGATGCTTTGGGTACAGGTAAAGGTTGTAAGAGACCTGGATAACTGTTGCGATCGGGCTTAGCTTGGGCGCAAACGGCACAGGACTGCACATACTGACGAATGGCAGCACACATACCGTGCCAATAGAAGAGCTGACGGACCTTGGCGAAAGTAGCCGGGACGCCAGAATGACTGCCCATAGCGCTGTCATGGAGGGCTGATATCACCTTGTTCTGCAATGCAGCATTAGAGCCTAGCCAAATGCGCTCTTTGTATAAAATGACTGAATGGAGGCCGTGCAGCAGAATCAAGAGATAACTGAGTAAGCAAGTCTGTTGCTTTAGAGTCTGTAGAATACCACAGCTGTAGAGAAGCTAGCCAATCATGTGTGGGTGATGACAGGGCCAGAAGAGTTTCTAGATGCGGCCGCCGTGAGAAGGCATCAGCAACAGTATTCTCCTCGCCACGACGGTAGACAATTCTGTAGCGGAGCCCCAACAATCTTGTAAAGACCTTTTGTTGCCATGGCGTGTGGAGCCGTTGTTCATTGAGGTGAATAAGGCTCTTCTGGTCAGTGTGTAGAATGAACTCCGACTGCAGCAGGTAATGGCGCCAACTATCCATGGCCATAAGAATTGCCAAGTACTTTTTTTCATAGACGGACAAACCCTGATTGCGAGGCCCAAGGGCCTTACTGATATAAGTCAAAGGGTGTCCTCGCTGATGTAGAATTGCACCCACACCCACTCCAGAAGCATCAGTTTCAATCTCAAAAGGGATGGAAAAATCAGGGAGCGCCAAAACCAGAGCTGAGGATAGTGCAGCTTTGAGAGTCAGAAATGTGGACTCATGAATGGAAGTCCATACAAAGAGTGAGTCCTTTTTGAGCAAATCCGTCAGGGGCTTCGCGATGACCCCAAAATGGCGGACGAACTTTCGATAATAGCCGGCCAAACCAAGGAATCCCCGAAGATCACGAACAAAAGATGGTGTTGGCCAATCTCGAATGGCTTGTACCTTGGCCGGATCGGTGGCCAGACCTAAACCGCTGATCATATGGCCTAAGTAGGAAACTTGCCTTTGAGCAAACTTGCACTTAGAGAGCTTAATCTTCCATTTTTCTGCTGCAAGCCACTGAAAAACCAGAGCAACATGCTGTACGTGCTCCTCATAGGATCTGTTGTAGATCAATATATCATCAAAAAAGATGATCATGAAGCGGCGAAGCCCAAGAGCCAACGTCGCATTCATAGCACCCTGAAATGTGCCCGGAGCTCCAGTTAAGCCGAAAGCCATCACTCGAAATTCGTACTGACCGAAATGGGTTTGAAATGCGGTCTTGTGCTCTTCACCAGGTTGGAGCAATATTTGATGGAACCCCGCATGAAGATCCAGATTGGTGAACCAACTGGCATTAGCTAACTCATCCAACAGTTCCTCAAACACTGGTACAGGAAACTTGGACTTCGCGGTGAGTGCATTGAGGTGACGAAAGTCCATGCAAAACTTGTACGAGCCGTCCTTCTTCTTGACCAAGAGCACTGGCGAAGAGAAGGGACTAGAGCTTGGTTGTATGATCCCTTGAGACAACATTTCATTGACTTGTCGCTTGATTTCATCTTTGAGGCTCGGGGGGTATCGGTAAGGGCGGATGTACACAGGACTAGCACCTGGCAGCAGCGGTATAGAGTGGTTGCATGTTCTGGAAGGTGGCAAGTCCACCGGTAGAGTGAACAAGTCCAGAAAGGAATCAAGAAGAGCTTGTATCTCAACTGGAAGCTCCTGGCTGGCAGAAGAAGATGCTGCGCTAGTATCCGGAACCTGATAGAGCTGAAGAAGCAACTGACTGGGGGACTCCTCATCGAGACCTTGCAACAGCACAGAATCACCATGATAGGGAATAGAGGACCACTTCTGCTGCTAGTAGACGTGCATTGGGCTGAATGCAGCAAGCCAGTCCATACCCATAATAGCATCGAAGGCTGTCAGAGGAAGCACTCTGAAATCAGAATGGAAAGTGCATTGATCCAGTGTCCACGGCACATTGCGAAGGATTCCAGAGTTCAGCAACAGGCCACCACCAGCAACTTGCACTTGAGTTGATTGCGGAGTAAGAACTGCTGACGACAATTTGGCGGCCAATGACTCACTGAGAAATGATGATGAGCTACCGGAATCAATCAGAATTAGCGCTGGATGGCCAGCGACTGTCCCTGAAAACTAGATAGTACGAGCAGCACAAGCACCAAGAGCAGCAGCTTTAGAGATGGCAACAAACAACTGCTCGGTGACCGGCTTGTCCTGATGTTCAGAACAACCATCTTCAGAGTTATCAAACGAGTCCCAAAGAGCTTCCACTACAGGCAACACTTCAGGAGGACATGTGTGGTCTTTACTCCACTTGGCACCACACTTGTAACATAGACCCAAAGCCTTCCGATAAGCCTTGACTGCCTGAAGCTTGGGATCAGCACTTGAAGAATGCTTAACTGCAGGAGCCGCTACCGTAGGACCAGGAGCTGGGGCTGGTCCCTTGTTAGTACGGGGTGGCAGCGGAAGTGGCAATGGCGTCCTGGGAGTATGCTGGAATTTGGACGAAGCATACCAATCACCGAAACGAGGCTGCTTGGTCAGAGCGGCAGCCCCCGCCTCCTCCTGCAACAATGCCAAAACACAAGCAGCGTCGAGGTTTTGTGGACGCTGAACCAACACAACTGCCTTAATTTCTGGAAACAACCCATCGATAAAACACATGGTATAATAGACAGGGTTGGTAGAATTGGAGTAAGCCGATAGCTGATCCACGAGTTCAATAAGACGTGTGACATAGTCAGAGACAGTGGTAAGCTGTTTGATGGAAAACAGCTTACGGATCAACAGCTCATGTTGGTCACGATCGAAACGATCATGCAACAACTGACAGAAGGTGGACCAAGTGGCAGTATGAATTTGGGATTCGATGGATGGAACCCGCGTCTTTGTCAGAGGGCTTCAGATAATGTTCGAACACACGATCCATAGAGACTCCACGCCATACATAGTGAAATACTTCTCACAATGACGACGCCACAAGCATGGATTGTCACCATCGAATTTGGGGAAGGGAAGCTTGGGAAGGCGACCTAACGCAGAGGAGGGAGGATAGAGGTCTAGAGGCTTTTGGTGGGCGAAATTGTGAGGAATTGTAGGATGTGGTGGAAAAACTTGTGGAACTGAAGTAATTGGATAAATTGATGTAATAGCTGAAGAAGGCAGCGGGTAAATTGGTGTAACAGAGGAAGGAATGGAAAAATAGGAGGAACAGGAAGGGGTGAAGGAAAAGTTGGGTGAATTAGGTTGGGTTGGGAAAAATTGGGAGGAGCAGGAATGGGTGAAGAGAAATTCGGTTGAATTGGGCTGGTGTGGGGAAAATTCTGTGAAGTGGAGTCTGACGGATGAAAGCTAGGTGGATTCGGGTGTGGTGGAGGGAAATTGGCCGGACAGACGGTTATGGGGGTGGAAGGTGGGTTGCACAGCCAAATTGGAGGGCGAGAAGGAACGATAATGGTAGGAGGACGATCCAACACGACGACTGACGATGAAATCGGAGGAGGGTGAGGAGTGGACGTCGTACCATTGGTCGGGATATGGCTCCAGGTCGTGACGACCC